GTGACCACAAAATGCAGATAGAGAACTATGAAGACAGGATGAAAAATATTTCTTTCAATCATCGAAAAGGTTTTAAAACTTTATATAGTAATAAATAAAAGAAATATTGCACCATATTGGATTTTCAACATAACTTCAACATTAATGAGAAAAATTTTCATAAAATCATTTTAGTTATGTTATTGGTTTAATAAAATTACTCCAAGATACACCAAAATCTACTTTTTTATGAAATAATTATTAATTATTATTCAAAAGAAATTGTTATATAAATAAAGGCACAATTATCTTTGAGAACGTAGCTTTCTAAGAAAATTGTACCTTTCGTAACTGTAACATATGGTATATTAGAAGTTGAAAAGTATTTATTAAATATTCTTAAAAATAATATAGTACCAAACATAAACTAAAAAGTTTTGAATCTATTAACTAATTCAATCTTTCATTCAAAACAATTATTTCATATTAGTTAGGCACTTCCGTAAAAATTTTCGTTGCAGCATATAAAACTTAGTAAATATAAAAACAAAAATTCATACTTACATATACTTTCTAGGCAATATTTGCATACGTAGTTTTCACATAAAGTTATTCTCAGTTTCTAAATATTGTTTGTGTAGTCCTTCTATCAGACAATTTAGTAACTAATTATATTTTCTTCTAAAGAAATACATTTTCGTTTCAAATTGCAGAGAACTAGTTTCATAGTAATTGCGAAGAATTATCATCTGCGTCTGTGCCTGTTACCATAGAAATAGATCTAACAGTTCATTTTGCACTTTTATACTATTTGTCATCCAATAATTAGTTTCTATCATTCCTACAAAAGTATACATAAAGAGCTTCTAGCTTTAAATGCTCAGCAATATGTAACTTATTAACTCATTCCAAGATTTGAATAGTTTCCAACAACTATTTTCTCTTCATTTATTTCTTACAATCAGAAGAATTTTAATGATAACTATAAAAGAAGCAAGAGCTATTTCTGAAATAAATGTACGAACAAAAATATAAAACCACTCGATACACAGAATTATTTTTTGGCGGCGCACTAAATTGGCGTGGCGTCGTTTGGCGGTCGTTCTGCCGTAATGAAAGAAGTCTTTTGAAAGAGGGAATTTGCAAAAGAAAGAAAAAGAAATGGAGCCTTCATAGTGTGGGGGAGCTGCCGCGATCTCTGAAATCGAGGAAGAAACTGCGGAGATCGGATGTCGACTGGATCGTAGGGAGAAGAGGTTCGGATTTCCTGGATCAGCGCATGCGTTCTTTCTTCCGTCGAGTTTTGACTGTTAAAAGAACGTTCACGTGAGATATTTAACAGAATAAATGTATTTTAATTGCAATTTCTTCCTCCATTCTTATTTCGTTATAATGAGATCAAATAATAAAATAGTGACGTTATCAAGCATTTACCACAGACATATTTATGCAGAGATATTTTTCAAATCGTATCTGGAATTATAGAGGCATAATTTTGTTTTTCCAAGCACCTCAAAATATATCTTTTATGCTATAATTGCTCTTAACGTTGTGAAACGATGTTTAACTTCAATTGTTTTCGTGTTCTGTATTCCTACAACTCAGGCCCTTATTATTGCACTAGCCTACGAGGTCTGAGCTCTAGGCATAGCTTTTGTAGCTGTACTAAATGTCTGTTATTAGTATTTATTTTTTTACAATTCCTCCCTACTGAATTAATATTTGGCATGCATACTTCCACAGTTTGTAAAATATTATTAGTTTGATTTATTGCTAAATTATTTAAACGAACAAGAATCTTTCAGTTTCTATGATGATTTAAATAGATTTACTATCTACTAAATTTAGATAAATAATATAATTAGAATTTGATGCTCTTACCTATTTTCAAAAAAAAAATTATTAGTATTTTATACAAGTTTCTTTAGTGCAGTAAGAGGCAATATTTTTTTAAAAAATTTACACAGATTTCGTTAATATTTGGGAATATGATTTTAAAAGTACAACTTTTATAACTGAGACTTTTTGCAAATATCTAGGGAGGCATTAAAAACAAATTCAGGATCTGTATCCAAGTTCATCACATCCTGGCAAACTGTTACATTAATAATTTAGTACGTCCAGAGATGGTGTGAGTCAAAAAGGTACTTACCTGGGGTCTCACACCGAAAACATTACAAATTATATAGTAATACACTGTAAAAAAAGGCAGAGAAAAAACAAGTCAGAATAGCTTCGAAACAAATTATGTATTTTTTATTGAGTATAGTGACTTGCAAAATTAAAGTAGCATCCAGTCATTTTAGAGCAAAATGCATAGTCTCAAAAATAATGTGGACAGATTTATTTGTTGACTACCGGCAGGACTTAAACCAAGTACGGATTCATAAAATGTTCAACCTTCACCATTGTTCACATTAGCCAGGGAGAGTTAGGAATTATATAATTTCAACCACAATGCCATATCATGACACACATTGTTTCACTAAAAGGTTTTTAGAATGCAGCAAACTAAACAAAAAGTGAAATTAAAACTACCGGTTTCCTGACTAAGTTATTTGGATGATACTTTCCAAATTGCAAACCTTTGTACCATTAAAATTGGAAACTAGTATGTTTTAATATGTCATTACGACGGCCACTATATAAAGCTTCCCATCTCTCTACTTTGGAGTATGCAGTTTATGTTGGTTAGTGCATCCAATACGAACCCTGAGGTTATTGGTTCGAATTCTGCAGGCAGCCAATGACCATTTCTCTTTCCACATCATTTTTGAGACTATATTTATTTTGGAGCTACTTTGACATATTTTGGCTTAATTTTGAAAACCCCTTTTCTACAATGTAATATTATTTTTAAAGTTGTAAAAACTTCAATCATCATTTTTTTTTCTAATTTAACTTGAAACATAGTATTGAAGCTGAAAAATCTTGATTAGCTTTCATCATAAAAAGGAAATAAAAAAAGAAGGCAGTAGTCTCCACATTTCCAGAAGCCCCGAAAGAAAACGAAAAATTAACAGAATTAAATTTACTGAATTATTTAATTGGAACCGTTAAAGGCTAATTTCCTCGGTTATAAGAATCAATAATGATGGGTATATGAAATATAAAAATGAAGTGATAATACATAATTTGAAGAGAAGTTACTCCATAATATTTACATGCGTTATGTTGTTACTGTCTTGCCTAGGCTAGCCTATTTAAGCCGGTGAAAATGGGTAGGAAGACCAAGAGAGAATAAGATTTTTTTTGGTACTCAGAATTCGAAATCGGAGTTCCACTGGAACTAAATTTAAAAACTACCAATAACTAGTAGCAGTTTTCTAATATCTGGCCTATGGGAGTCATTGTTAAATACAATTGAAAATTGTTTATGAGAAAAAATACGAGATGAAATATTTTAATTTTCTTAAAGCTTTTAATTTGTTTGAAGTTTTTTTTTATTTATTTACTTTTTATTTTTCGATTTTCGTTATGGTTATATATATATTTTTTTTTTATATTTTTGATGATTTTCAATCTATATATAGTTTTTACTTGTTTTTAAGGTGCCTCTTTTTCTTTACCTTTTCCTTTGTAAAAATATTTACTTTTAATCGTTTTAATTAAATTCAGGTCATGAATAATCAAAAAAAAATTTTTTTTAGTTAATTATTTGCTTCTGTAACGTAGTATACCTTTATAACATATGGTTTATTCTAAATGTTAATTCCAAATTTAAATGATGTTAATAAATCTCGAAAGAAAGAATTGAACACTAACCTCCCGGTTCAGTTCTAATGCATTGCTTTAAAAAACAGAACAACAGTGCTTTAAATTCATTTTGCGATTTCTTAACGTAAGTAGTGTACTAAAAAAACGAAAGTTGTAATTTACGTAAAAGAACATGCACTCCAAACAATATACTTTACTCCGTTACAAAATGCCTCTGTAGCTTTTCTGTTTAAAAGCTTCACTAAATTAGATAAGATTGATTTTATTTCTTTCAAGTACTTTAACAATATTACTTAAAATTATCTTTCATATGATTATTTTCTCATCTTTTAGCCCATTAACAAGTGCTCATTTACAACTTGTCAGAAACAAAAATTTCAAGACACTCAAGAAAACTATTTGTTCTAATGAATAAAGTACTTTTTGTCCTTTCTTTTAAGTTAAAAAAAGGATTCAAAACAACTTTAGGTTACTGTCATTGGAGACTCAGAGAATTCTCTATCATTAATGGCGCCAACATCGGTCAGTTGATTCTAATTGAAGAACCAGAGTCAACATTTGCGATTTCGCCTTAATTACTCCGGGGAAAAGGATTGCATTGACAGCGTGCGTGACGTCGACCAGCATTTCCGAGTGGAGTTGAGTGGACAGAATCCTTCATAATTCGCCGTTATGGAATAAATTTTCTGGAGATGATAAAGTGGAAACAGCATTTCTTGGCGTTGAAAGGAGACAACTAAACTTTAATTAAATTTTCGAAAATACATAAATAAAATTGAATCTATAATGGCTTGAGTTCGAATTTAAAAACTAATTCTTTGTTAAAATGATGTTGCAATTTTTATTGTATAAAAGAAAGTTATGTATTTTAGTTAACCATTAATAAAAAGGAATTTTTCGTGTACGATAAAATGTTTTTAATATTCATGAAATGAAAAAAAAATATTTAATAAACGTTATAAAAATTTTGCTTTGATATATTACTTTATAAATTTTGTCGGTAATTTGCATAGTCGATGTTAAAAATAGATATAAATTATCTAATTTAAAAGTTAAAAGAAAAGGAAAAACATTTCAGAAACAGGATAAAAATAAACAGAATAAAATCAAATTATGACAAGAGCTGAAAAATGATTAATTCACGAAATTTTGTTTTAAATATAATATAGAACATCAAAGCTTTTATGGTTCAAATATGTTTAACTTTCAATTATATAATAATGTTTATTTGTTATTAAGTAGAGTAGACATGATTAAGAAATAAGTAGCTGAAAAAATTATAATAGTATATTAATATTTTTAATGATACATTTGGTCATTTTTTTCTTCGAAAATAGTGAAAGAATAGTAAAAAATGATTTAGAAATTATTTTTTAAATTTTTCGTAATTAAAGAAAACATCGTTAAAAGGTCAGTTTTCGTATTTTATCATAATAAATTGTTATTACATTGAAAATGTTATACAAATGATGTTGCAATTTTTATTGAATGAAAGTTATGTATTTTAGGTAACCATTAATAACTTGTTTGAATATTTCCTTAAAAAAATTGAAGTTCGAATATTTTTTTTAAAAAAAATCAATGCTTAAATGTGAGGTAAATTTATAATATTTTGGTTTGATAATAATCCAGCGCTTTTAGTTAAAAATGTCATGAATTTTTTGTGTATGATGAAATATTTTTAATATTCATGAAATGAAAAAAATATATTTAATAAATGTTATAAAATTTTTGCTTTGAAATATTTTTTTATAAATTTTGCAGATAATTTGCATTATAAATTGCTTGATGCTAAAAATAGATATAAATGATCTAATTTAAAAGTTTGAAAAAAAGGAAAAACATTTCAGAAACAGGATAAAAATAAACAGAATAAAATCAAATTATGACAAGAGCTGAAAAATGATTAATTCACGAAATTTTGTTTCAAATATAATATAGAACATCAAAGCTTTTATGGTTCAAATATGTTTAACTTTCAATTATATAATAATGTTTATTTGTTATTAAGTAGAGTAGACATGATTAAGAAATAAGTAGCTGAAAAAATTATAATAGTATATTAATATTTTTAATGATACATTTGGTCATTTTTTTCTTCGAAAATAGTGAAAGAATAGTAAAAAATGATTTAGAAATTATTTTTTAAATTTTTTGTAATTAAAGAAAACATCGTTAAAAGGTCAGTTTTCGTATTTTATCATAATAAATTGTTATTACATTGAAAATGTTATACAAATGATGTTGCAATTTTTATTGAATGAAAGTTATGTATTTTAGGTAACCATTAATAAGTTGTTTAAATATTTCCTTAAAAAAATTGAAGTTCGAATAGTTTTTTTAAAAAAAAATCAATGCTTAAATGTTAGGTAAATTTATAATATTTTGGTTTGATAATAATTTAGCGTTTTTAGTTAAAAATGTCATGAATTTTTTGTGTATGATGAAATATTTTTAATATTCATGAAATGAAAAAAATATATTTAATAAATGTTATAAAATTTTTGCTTTGAA